CTCTCTCTCTCTCTCTCTCTCTCTCTCTCTCTCTATATATATATATATATATATATATATATATATATATATATGCTGCTCTGTATAATTGTTTATTAGATTACCAGGGAGTTAGGCACTATCAATGATACAAAGTAGATCAAATAAACTAATATCTACAAGTAAGAAAATATCAACCATTTATTAGTCCAACAAACTTTGGTAACTCAATGTAAAACAGTGTTTTAGAAACAACCTTAAGTGTTTCCTGGAGGTATAGGTATAAGGTATTTTATAATGTATCTTAAACACAACCTAAATACAACATTCAGATCAGGGCAATGATAAAAGCCATACATTAAAATCAGCTAAGTTAAAAAAAATAACTGTCTCCACATAGGTTTCCAATTCTGGTTGTGTCTGTTCTGACCTCTAGATAGGAAAAGGGAGGCCAGCCTGTCTATGAAACAGATCAGACCATCAGCTACTTCAGATGCCTTCTGCATCAAACCACACAGTTTGCAGAAGTGCTCGTGATGGTATAACCCGCATGCTGTGGATTTCTCTCACATCGTATAGAACACTGGTCCCACTGTAGCTACAATATCTGCATAGGGGACACTCTGGCTCAGTTCAATAGCCCGATGCTTTTTCAGGATGAGAAGAGTATAAAATTTGGCAGCTGCCTGTTTTCGGTCACTATTTCTGCATAGCTTTACCAGGCTAAAGGACTGCATTCCCATCTTGTTGAGTTCCTGGGAAAATAATTAGAAAAGAGAAAGAAAAGTGGAACAAAATCATCAGAAGCACAGCAGTCTGTGGATGTGTTATGAACAACAAACAGTACAATTCTTGATAAGTAACTATAATATCCTTAAAAAAAGAAACAGGAGGACTCCAATAGGCTTAAAAAAAAATTCACTGAGAGAAAACCCATTTTACTGAGAAAATGCACACAAAACTAATTTTATACAAATGTATGTGAAAAACCTGTTTGAAATTTGTGAGTCCTGTTTGAAGGACTTTGTGAGGTTACACATTTAATGAATAATCAGCCCACTGTGTGTTTTCTCCTTAAAGTCATCATAGATGCCTGTAAAATAACTTTCAGGGTCAATGTGGTAGTGCATTTGTAGGCTTCAGTGGCAGAGGAATGTAGCTATGTAAACATCTCCTTGTTGGAGTCATCACATGATGCCTGCATACCTACTAGAAATAAGTGAGATACAACACAGTGTTAAGTTATGGAGGAAGGTAATACCTTTAATAAATTTTAGGATTTGGAATTGCATTCCTACAAAAGTAGAGTTTTTATTTGTCTAGAAATACTGCCGCAAACACTTGCCAGTATCCTTATGCCTACCACACTCCTTGGATGATTGTAAGATGTGCTGAGGAATGCCAACAAGTTTCTGACAGTATAAAGTACTTGACACATTAATAGGGAAAATACTTCATGTGTTTTACCTCAACCACATGCATAGTCCAGCATTAGTAACCTTTCAAAAATGGCATACCCAACCTTTGTTCATTTCCTTCCTTGAGAGACAGGTGTGGATTATGTGACCTTTTCCTCCATGACATCCCTTTTGACTTCAAGAATTCTAAAAACAACATTAACCAAATAACAAAACAAAACAAAACAAAACAAGACTGCCCTAAAATGCCAGATATACAAGATAGAATATGTGAGCTTATCTATGTTTAAATCTATAATTAAATGTTTTCCTTTGGAAGTTGCTTTGGTGATGGTGTCCCTTCACAGCAATAAAACCCAAGCTAAGACAGTAAGAATGTATCAGTGAGAAAGTCAGCAATGAACAACCCAATCTGAGGTACAGAACCTGGGAAACTTGGGAACTGGAGTCATTAAGAGCTCAGTGGTTAGGACCTGGGGTCAGATTAAAAGCACAACTGCAGGAGTCAGACCTTCTATCAGTGCAGCAGCTTCACAGAGACCAGAGACTACCCACACACAGCAGGAGGCAAGAAGGTTTAATGTTTGCAAATAACGACTATTGAGGCTTTGTACTTGGGACACGGATACTGAGTAGGGAAAAAGCATCAAACCATAAATAGAGACTAAGTGGTGCTCCACAATGTATAGGAAGATGGCCTGACTCTGTCCTTTTTGTCAACCTGGGAAGAAGGAACATCTGGAAACTGCTTTCGTCAGATTGACCTGGGAGCAGTCTATGGGACATTTGTTTTTGATTAATGAATGATGTGGGAGGGTCCAGTCCACTGTGGACACAGCCATCATTAGATATTGAGTAAAATCTCTAACATTAAAGAGCAAATAATAAGAATATATTGAAAAGATTCATTACAGAAAGTGAATACAAAGGCCAAAGAAATAATACAATTTGAAGCTGAAGTTTTTCACTATGAACACAAAAAGTGATTGGGATGACCGTGAACAAAGCATATTAGTGGTCACTTGGGGAAGGGAGTGGGTCTTACCTCATGGGAAGGATGTGGCGAGAGAAAAAAGTGATGTGAGGACATTGGGGGAGTTTAAGTAAGTTCATTATTTTGAGTGTGGTGATAGTTTTTCATATGTGAAAATAACTCCAAATGCATTTAATACAGTAAACTAAGTATAGTGAACAATATGTTGATATGTATAGTTTGTTACTTATCAACCATGCCCCAATAAAGGTTTTAAAAAATTAAATAAAGATTATATGAACCAAAATAGTCAATAACTTTAAAAACTAAACCAAAACAATAACAAAACTCTCAGAAAACATAAAGCAAATTTTATTTAAAACTGAGAAACAAAGTTTCTAGATACAAAATATCTAAAGATACAAATCTTTAGAGACTGTAAAAATACAAAGAAAAATATAGAGATGAAAGTGTTTATATAAAGGAATAAATAAGGAAGAGCCATTATCTGATGTATACATTCTCCAAGAAGAGAAAACAGACAACCAACAAGAAGGAAGTCTAATTAAAAGTATTTTATGTGTCTGGGTGTTTTTCCTGCATGCATGTTGTGCACAGTGTGTGTCTGGTGCCTTTGGAGGACAAAAGAAAGGGCTAGATCCCCTGGAACTGGGGTTACAGATACTTGTAGTCTATCATGTGGATACTGGGAATCAAATGTGGGTCCTCTGGAAGAACAAGTGCTCTTAACCACTGAGCTATCTCTCTTAACACCAGAAAGTCCAAAATTTTAAAAGTCCTAGAATATGAAAATAGTGATTAAAAATACCCAGTTCAGGGCAATACAATAAACTTAAAACAAAGCCCCCTCATCATCATGAAATTTCAGAGCATTGTGGAGGGGGATGATCTAAGAGCTTCTAAAGAGAAAGTAAATGTCACCAAGATGATCATGAACCAACGCTGTGCCTGACTTCAATAACAACACATGAATCCTAGACATGTCCCAAAACTTTATCAGAAAAAGTATTTTCTATGTAGACAACCAATCAAGTTCAAATTAAAAACAAACAAATTTCCAGGCATTGTTTGCAAAGCTGCTATCTGCTATACACCGTTTATCTTAAGAAGTTATGAGGATAGTACTGACAGGAAAGATTTCAGATAAAAGATCAAAGTGAATACAGAGAAACTAAGAAGACACAAGGAATTTTCCATGTTTCTGATAAAGGACTGTTCCAAGAGAAAAGCTGTGGAGGAGAGACAGAGTAACTAGTATGAATTAGATCAAGAGTATAATGGGATGCAAAAGGATTATCTCTGAGGGGACGGTGGGGAACTGATGGTCAGTGGGTTGTATTACATTGCCAAAGAATCTGAAAAATATTTATGGATAGTTACATAGATATCAAGGACATAATCAATGTAATAAAGGACTACAGTGCTCAGTGGTTAAGAGAACTGGCTGTTCTAGCTGAGGACCAGGTTCATACTCATGGAATGGTACAACCATCCGTAATTCTAGTTTCAGGTGATCCAATGTCTTCTTCTGGCCTTTGCAAGCATTGCATGCACACACTGCCCAGACATGCATGCAGGAAGAACATCCATACATATAAAGAAAACTGGTAATTTTTTTTAAAAAAAAGAGGTAATAAACCAAATAACACAACCATAAAATTTAGATGAAAATAACTGTAATCACACTATGAAGCTTCAGTGGAAACTGATTTTTTTTACATAATCTTTGAAACAGAGACTAACAGTCATCTTTTAATAATCTTTTTCTTCTATATTTAACACTAGGCATATTATTCAAAGCCATTTCATGTCAGCAAATGTTTGTTGTCCTCAACAAAACATAAAAAAATGTTTTGTTTCCATAAGTATCTAGATTCTCAAATTAATGTATTATTTACTTTTAGAATAAAGATAAAGGGCTAGGGAAATGGCTCAGTGGATAGAGTGCTTGCTGTGCAGGTATAAGGCCTGGAGTTCAGATCTGCTGCACCATACTGCCATGCTGGGTGGGTCTGGTGGCCAGTAACCCCAGCACTCAGAAGTCATAGGTAAGGGATCTCCAGGGCAAGATCACTAGCTAGACTGACTGGAATAGCAAACTCTGAGTTCAGCGAGAGGCTCAGGAAAAAGTGGAGAGTGACTGAGGAAGCTACTTGATATCAATTTCTGGCCTCCAATACACAAGTACCTGCACATACATGCATCCCATACTAGAATGTGCATATACATGTGTATATACACTACACTTGCATACACACAGTCAATAAATAAAATAAAATGCCATCTTACCCGTAACTCATTTAATGTTTGAAATAATCTTTGATTCCATTTTTCTGTCTCAGTATTTTGTTTGCTGCCTGATGACTCCTGTTTGAATAATCGATAAATAGTTCATTTAAGCAAACTTTATTGAATGCTTACTATGCACCAGGTATTGCATTTGCTACTAGAGAAAAACAACTGTAACACAGTCCTGCCCAAAAAATGTATGGGCTGATGAGGAGAACGACACAAACACAGGACAACTGTTGCTTAAGAGTTCACTAGAGATTAAAGCATTCCACTCTGCAGGAAAGCTAAGGAACCACACACACACATACTCCTATAGGAAACCCCAATAAAACTCACTGGTTCACCAAGCTAGACTTTGGTCTGTACTTTGGTCTATTGTGGGTTCCCTGTCTGGGGTGAGCAGATACATATGTTGTATCTCTCCAACAAAACTTCCGTCATATAACAAAAACCTGTGCAACTTTGTACTTTGTATCCATGCATGTCTTCTGATAAGGAGATCCAAAGTAGGAGACTGTGCAGTCTTACTGGTGATGCAGCTCTGAGTGTATGCCTTTGTGCACTTTGAACAGTAAAGTTAGCAAAGTCAGCCACTTTTGTCTAGGATTTTTCAGTCTGGCCAATCAGAACTCTCGTGATGGGAATAAATAAAAAAATTGTAGAAAATCTGTTGTTGCAAGGCCCCTATATGAACTTAGCTGATGACATAAACACCCTTAAAAATGGTTTAAGAGACCTTTCAGATTTTGAGGCGCTTTGTCTATACATACGGCTAACTCACTGCCTGTCCTGTCATCTGACTCGATTTACTCGTCTGTCTTTTAAAGTTGAATTACTTCAAAAGACAGCTCAGAATTAAAAACTTAAGTTGGAACCCCTTTAAAAGAATTTAGTCTAATTTCTTACAAACTACACCTTATCAGCTGAGAATGGGATCTCTGCTCAGGGGAGGTATTGATCTCTCTGATAAAAACAACAATAACAAGGGAAACAGAGTAGGCTGAGGATGAGAAGCAATATAGTTCTGACATACTTTATCAGCATTCCCAGGCTAGGCTGGACCATAATACGCAATAGCAAACAAAACAAGGAAACAAATTAAGAGGATATATATATATATACACCAATCTCACAGTAGTCAAAAGTTCTTACTGCCCTTGAGGAGGACCTGGGTTAGATTTCCCAGCACCACGTCAGGTAACTGGCAACTATCTGTAACCCCAGGCTTCTGACCTCTTCAGTTACCTGTATGTACAAGGTGCCCATAAACTCACATAGGCATACACATATGCAAATAAATAAATAAACAAATAAAGTTAATGCTAGGACTTAATATGGGATTTGATACTATTTACTAAACAACTTTTGAAAAAATTTCTTTAAGCTAAAAATGCCTTCAGTGCTCTGGAATAAGGTTCAAAGAAGTAACTCAAGGGCTGGAGTGATGGCACTAGCTGCTCTTGCAGAAAACCTGGGTTCAGTTCCCAGCACCCACAGGTGGCTTACAGCTACCAATAACTACAGCTTCAGGGGACCCAACACTCTCTTCTGGCCCTTGTTTCTGAGAACATCAGGAATGTATGTGGTATACTTTCATACTGACAAAACTCATGCCTATAAATTTTTTTAAATGTTTTAAAAAGATTTCTTTTTATATGTATATATCTTTTTTAAAAGAAAGAAAGAAAGAAAGAAAGAAAGAAAGAAAGAAAGAAGGGAAGAAAGGAAGAAAGGAAGAAAGAGAAGGAAACCAGGTAGTAGTAATGCATAGAGAGTCAGTAAGTCAAATTTTTCGATTTGCTATCAAAATGTGGTCCTTTGAGCAGACAATTTTCATTTTCTGATTTTATTTTTTCATATTTTAATATATTTAAAAATAGTTTTAAATATTCTTTTATAATCTAACAACAAAGATGAATAACTGTGTAATCTGAGCAACTACTAAGAAAGAAGACTGATATTATAGATGACAGAGATCATTGTAATAGTAACACTCTTTGACAATGTTTGAAAGCAAAAAAATTACAAGTCAGATTTCTGTATGTATCAACTGCTGCCACAATAGTATTTCTTCCTTTTTTTTAAAAAAATTTCCTTTAATGTTATTGCTTATTCACTTTACATCCTGGTCACAGCCCCCTCCCTCTTCTCCTCCAGTCCCACCCTCACACCCCATTTCCCCAGTCCCCCTTCCTCTTTGAGAAGGGAAGCCCCCCCCCCCGGGTACCAATCTGCCCTGGAACAAAATTATGTTAAATCTAAAAATAATTAATTACATATGAAAAAGTCACCCAAAGACTACAAATATAGTTACCAGTTCAGCTGGACAGTTTTCTTGTGCCAAGGAGGCATTCACTGAAGATGATCCCTCAGTGACTGCAGAAATCATTTCGAGAACATCTTGCTAAAGAAAATTCAGAAATTACAGGTAATTCTGCTAGTGGTTATAAAATTAACAGCTCAGTTTGGTTAAATGATTTATTAACAAATGACATTTCTCAAACTAATTGAATGTACTAATTATATTTTCAAATTTACTTTTCTGAGATGCCTATGATAATCAGTTCCTAATTTATTTATTTATTTATTTATTTATTTTTTTTTTTTATTGGATGATTTATTTACATTTCCTATGTTGTCCCCTTACCCCATCCCCCACCACTCCCTCGGAACCTCCAATCCCCTCGCCCCTCCTCCTTCTTCTCTGTGGATGTAA